ATGCTAGAGTTTATTCCCGGCGCGTCTGCGAACCAATATTACGCGACCCAGAGCCGAAATCAGTAGGGTGAAACTAACCTGCCTCCCGACGGTCTAAATCCGACCCACCTCGTCTAATTCGAATTAATCCCCCTAGGCTTTACGCTAATCCCTCCCTACCTCTCTCACGTACTCACGGTTCGGCTCGGATGTGCGGAAAGTCGGAGTGAGACAAGGCTGCACGAAGCTTTTGCTGGGGGCTGGAGTCTGGCTGCTCTGCGACCCGTCACACGGACGGTCGAGTAACAGGACGATCGCTCCTCAGTCCTCCCTCCTCCAAGTCCCGGGCAAAAGAGACCAGGCTTCCCAATTCCATCCCCTTTGATGCTCCTACTTCAAAAACCAACGCGCCGCCGATCCGCTGGCTTCTCATCCATCAGCAGCCTCCTCTCTGACGCCCCCCCCATTGTTTAACCGAGTGCACGGCCGAGAGGTCCTCGTTGTCCTGAACCGCCCCGACCCCCCACCTGCCTGCTGGTCCGCGTGTGCTTTTTGGCTGTTTCCTCACTGCGATTCTCAGTAGTTCGCCGTGGCCGTGCAATTTTAAGTCAATCCACGGCGCCGCAGTTCCATTCGGCCTGGGGGGGGGGCTGCCAATTCCCTGGCCCTGAGAAACCGTGGAGCACCCCCACGAGGGGGTCTCTCGGGTAAAAACTCAGAGGCAGGTGACCCCTCCACACGAGGCCCTACGTGAGTGCGAGTGTGTGTTCATGTGGGGCGTGGTGGGGGGGGGAGCTGCGACGGGAGCCGGGTGGCTTCTCGGCTGCAGCAGCACAGCGACTGCCCCGGTCTCGGTGGAGCGGCTTCGCTGTCGTGGCATCACACAGTTCACCAGCATGAGTACAAGCAAGGGCTTGGCTCTGCTACTGCTGCTGACGGGACCCTGAATGTGGAAACCTGTTCCTGTCTTTGAACATCTGGGGCAGTTCACCAGCATGAGTACAAGCAAGGGCTTGGCTCTGCTACTGCTGCTGATGAGACCCTGAATGTGGAAACCTGTTCCTGTCTATGAACATCTGGGGCAGTTCACCAGCATGAGTACAAGCAAGGGCTTGGCTCTGCTACTGCTGCTGATGAGACCCTGAATGTGGAAACCTGTTCCTGTCTATGAACATCTGGGGCAGTTCACCAGCATGAGTACAAGCAAGGGCTTGGCTCTGCTACTGCTGCTGATGAAACCCTGAATGTAGAAACCGACGCAGAGAATCGCCTGGTTCACATTTCACGCTCACAGCAAGAAAAGGCTCGTACGACTGATGGGATGCGTAGAAAATACTTGTATTGTTTACGTGCGGACAGGGGGCGGGATACGAAGGAGGAACGGAGGCGCTGCGGATGGTGTCGGTTGCCTCTCCCACTCCCCTTCAACATCAGTGGGGGCCCAGAGGAGGATGATCAAGTAACTGCACCGCCACTACCACCTCTTTCCTCCTTCCTCCTCCACACCACCTCCTCCACGCTATTTCCTTCTTCCTCTACTCCACCTCCAGACCACCTCCTCCCCTCCTCCACTTTCACTCCACCTCTGCCACCTCCTCCATGCCACCTCCTCCTTCCACCTCCTCCACCTCCTCCTCCACGCCAGCTCCTCCTTCCTCCACGCCACCTCCTCTACCTCTGCCACGTCCTCCACACCACCTGGAGGGTTTGGGATAGACTGAATGAGTGGGTAGTAGGTGTTGGTAGGTGGGTAGGTGGGTGAATGGGTGGGTCTTAGAGTGAGTTGTTGGGTGGGTGGTAGAGTGAGTTGGTGGGTGGGTAAGTGGGTGGATGGGTAGTAGAATGAGTTAGTGGGTGGGTGGTAGAGTGAGTTGGTGGGTGGGTAAGTGGGTGGATGGGTAGTGGAATGAGTTAGTGGGTGGGTGGTAGAGTTGGTGGGTTTGTGAGTGGTTGGGTGGTAGTGTGAGTTGGTAGGTGGGTGAGTTGTTGGGTCGGTGGTAGAGTTGGTTGGTGGGTGTAAGTGGGTCAGTTCGTGGGTGGGTGGTAGAATGAGTGGCTGAATGAGTGGGTGGGTGAATGGTTGAGTTAGTGATGACGATGATCATGTTGATAATGTTGATGTTAATAATCTTGATGATGTTGATGATGGTATTTGTTGTTCATGTTGTTGCAGATTGGACTACCCCACAACGCACTGAGACAAAGGCAAAGCTCCCCCGTGTAGGCTGCTGGGGGAAGTGCCTGCAATGAGTGGTCGTTTGGATGTATACCAGCATATCGGCTGCCCTCATGCCCGGCCGCCTTTGTCTCTCCAAGTGCTGATGCTTTACACACCCACCACACCGGATACTCGCTTTCTTTTGTTAAGGCTGAGTCGACCTAGAGGGGGGACTCCGGATTGGCCGTCCACTGTGTGCGTGTGTGCGAGGAGCGGTGGCGCAGCGTTTAGCGCACCGGGTGGTAGAGTGAGTTGGTGGGTGGTAGAGTGAGTTCTTGGGTAGGTGAGTTGGTTGGTGGTAGAGTGAGTTGGTGGCTGAATGGGTGGGTGGTAGAGTGATTTGGTAGGTGGGTAAGTGGGTTTCTGGTTGGTAGATTAAGTTGGTAGGTGGGTTGGTGGTAGAGTTACTTGTTGGGTGGGTGAGTGGGTGGGTGGTAGAGTTAGTTTGGTGCTGTGTGGGTGGGTGGTAGAGTGAGTTGGTACGTGGGTGAGTGGTGGGTGGTAGAGTGAGTTGGTGAGTGGGTGGGTGGTAGAGTCAGTTGGTTAGTGTGTGGGTGGGTGGTAGAGTGAGTTGGTACGTGGGTGAGTGGATGGGTGGTAGTGAGTTGGTGAGTGGGTGGGTGGTAGAGTGAGTTTGGTGCTGTGTCGGTGGGTGGTAGAGTGAGTGGGTGGGTCTGTAAGTGGGTGGATGGTAGAGTGAGTTGGTGGGTGGGTGGTAGAGTGAGTTGGTGGGTAGGTGGGTGGGTGGTAAAGTGAGTTGGTAGGTGGGTGGTAGAGTGAGTTGGTAGGTCGGTGTGAGTGTGTGGGTGGTTGGTAGAGTGAGTTGGTGGGTGGATGGGTGGTAGAGTAAGTGGGTGGATGAATGGTTGAGTGAGCGATATTGATGGTAATGATGTTGTTGATGTTGGTGATGATCATGTTGATAATGTTGATGTTGGTGATGTTTGCTGTTGATGTTGCAGATTTGACCACTTCACGACGTACTGATACAAAGGCAATGCTCCCCAGTGTAGGCTGCTGGTGCAAGTGCCTGCAATGAGTGGTGGTTTGGGTGTACACCAGCACCTCTGCCGCCCTCATGCCCGGCCGCCGTTGTCTCCCCTAGTGCTGATGCTCTACACACCCACCGCACCGGAAACTCGTTTTCTTTTTTAAGGTGAGTCGACCTAGAGGGAGGGGGCACTCCGAATTGGCCGTCCACTGTGTGAGGAGCGGTGGCACAGTGGTTAGCACACCGCGTGGTATGAGTGAGTTGGTGGGTGGTAGAGTGAGGTGGTAGGTGGGTAAGTTGTTTGCTGGGTGGTAGAGTGAGTTAGGGGGTAGGTTGTTGGTTGAGTGAGTTGGTGGGTGGGTGGTAGAGTGAGTTAGTGGGTTGGTTAGTGGTTGGGTGGTAAAGTGAGTTGGTGGGTGGGTCAGTGGTGGGTGGTAGAGTATTCACCCACTAACTCACACACGTAATTACCTATCCACTCCCCCACTCACCCATCCATCCATCTATCCACTCATCCACTCACTCATATACCTACTCACTCAATTACCCACTCACCCGCGCACTCACTGACCCACCCATCCACTCACCCACCCATTAACCCAACCTTGCCCTCTTCCGCCATGGCTGTTCATCTGTGCTCTTCCCTGCACTCCCCTACCCAGCCTTGCCCTCCCCGCCTCCTACCCTACTCTAAACCCTGCCCTTCCCTCCTCTCCTTCATCTGCTCCCTGCCCATCCCCCTGGCCCAGTCGTGTCCTGCCCTTTGCTACTGCGCTGCCCCGTGCCCCCTGCCCTAACGCTGCTGCTGCATGTGAATGTGGATGATGTTGTAGATGTTGCAGAAATGAGCTTCTTTTTGGCTGGATGGAGGGGCTGAATATGCGTGGCATGGGCTTTAAACGAGCCGGGCTTATACGGTACAGGATGTGGAGCTGATTGGACTTATCGCTGACTGGCACTGTCATTGGAGTCTCGTGCACCTGCACGAGACGAATGCCTCGATCCACCTCTCCAGTCAATGTGATCTTGTACACTTGCCAACCCTTAAACATTAAACAACTTCACCCATGACATCCAAACATTTTTCTCTTTCTCCACTTTCACTCCGGCCCTCTCTTCTCGTATTTCAGCCGGCCTCGCCTCCCTCCACTCTTGGATGTCGCTTCACTTCCTTGCCACCAACCCCTCTAAAGCCCAGCTGCTCTTCCCCCTCCACCAACCACCATCCCCCCCCCTCCACCATCACTATCATCTTCCCCCCTCCACTATCACCACCATCTCCCCCCTCCACCACCACCACCCCCACCATCATCTCCCCCCCCCTCCACCAACCCACACCATCATCTCCCTCCCCCTCGCTCACCCCTCGGCCCCTTGGCCCGCACCCTCGGCGTCCTCTCTGACTCCCCCCCCTCGCCTCTCACATCTCCGTCACCCGCAGTTGTCGATTCCACCTTGTAAACATTCTCACAATACGCCCTCTCATCACTCAGTCCACTGCCAACCTACCGATACACTCACACTCATCTTCCCTTGATTAGACTACAGCAGCAACTCTCTCCTACTCGGTCTCCCAGCCTACGCATTCACTCCACTGCCAACAGATCCAAAATACGTCTGCACGCTTCACTTACAAGCTACCACACTGCTCCCTGCACCTCCGCCCTTCTTATACAAATCCACTGGGCTCTCTCCCTCTGCTACCGGTGTCTGTTCAAGCTCCGCACCGTTGCCTCGCTTCCCTCGTCTCCAATTACGCCCCTTCGCTCCGCTCTCAATCTCTCGCACTCCTCCTCACCGTTCCCCCTCTCCTTGTGCACAATCCCCATGACTGCTCCTTATCCCTACTCGCCCTCTTGCATTGCAACAAACTTCCCCTCCACATGAAGCAGCGAGCGCCCTCCCCCTTTCGAGTTTCCGCTCCTCCCTCAAGACCTCCACCTCTTCTCCCTGGCCAATCCTTCCCTCCATCCCCTGGGTACCCACCGGTAGTTCCCGTATCCACCAACTTCCCTCCCATACCCCCCCCCCATCCCTGTTCACCATATCACCTGGAGCTGCACTCATTGTACCACTTAAAACCCTTGTCAAGCGCCTTCAATGAAGGCGCTACGAATAGAACTTAAAAATAAATGTACATTTAATTCACTCAACAATTAACATGTGACTTACTAATTTTAACGAACAAATTAACAATTGTATTCATTAATCAAGTATAAGCAGGACTATAAGCGAATGCCAGCTTGTGATTGGCTATGGGGTTGGGTCCAAGTCGCCTCAACTCCACCCCTCCGCAAGGCTGGAATCAGAAACCCTATTATTCCATTGTTTCTCTGGGAAAAATCGGACTCGATTTACGTTGTTTTGACTTCCTGCACCTTTTCTAGGAATGTAACTTGACGAAGGTGAGAGGCCCTCTTGTATTGTGCAGCTTACAACACTGGCCAGCAGCATATCACATTTTTTTAAAATTCCTAGTTGAAGATTGAAAAGATTCGATTTTTGAAGTTTCCGACATGTTTTAATTTGTCTCGGCACACCATTTGGTAGGAAGTGAGTTCCAAGCTTTAGTTAGGCCCAGCAGACAAGAAGGCGCACTCCCCAAACTTGTCTTAACACGCAGGATGTTGCAGTAGTTGCATAGCTGGGCCACCATTTGTTCTTGTTGAGGCGGCTGCATTGTGGTTAAAACGCAGTGCACAGTGAGGTTGCTAACCCAAAATGCCCACGATCTCCGATTAGCACGGTTGTCTACGTACGGTGCGAAAGAAGTTCCACATACAGCTGTGCTGGTGACAAACTCCCGCGTAGCGCAAGTTATTTTTTTATTGCCGTTTAAATGACGTTTAGAACAAATACCGAACTGAATAAACACCAATGCCACATTCACAGCATCCATGCATTTGCTTGTCATAATTGGAGCATAACGTTTGTTTTATATAATTTCTATGTATTTCACACCTGGAGTTTGTCTCGATCTACAAATGGTGCAGCATCATCTATTTTAAATGTGGGGAAAATAACCGATGCACGCTCATTTAAAAAAAATTACACGGTGCAGTATATGCCCTTGGCAGCTATCAATCATACTCCACAGATTGAATTACTTTGTTGACGCTCGCATACAATGAAAACCCTAAGGAACTACGTATTATTATCAATTATATGGGTTTAAAGGTCACATCATAAGTAACCAAATATCCATGATTATACATGTACAGCTTGTGATCAGCTGGGTTGTAGTTAAGGCTGCTCATCTTTTCCAAGGGCTTTGCAATCACGATGCTCATTAACCTCTCGTAGTTAGTTTTGGTGTCAAAAGCAAAGTAGATCTCTTCAGTTTTAAGGCTGGAGGTGCACGTGAGGTACAGGACTCCACACAACACGAAGCCATTGCTAACTGAGGGTTTGGACTGCGTGGTAGTCCAGCTGCTAATAACAGCAAGGTAAGTATAATTAAATAAAGCAAGGGACAACTTCCCACAGACCTTGTTCATCCAGAGAAATCCATATCAGAATAGGTAGAGCCCAGGTAAGGATACAAATTGCTTCCTGACGCTTGGGGGAGATTTACTCTGGTAATTGTAGAGGCTGTCAGGTTATATTTGCAAACAGAGACACCAGTAGAGCATCTGTAAAACATGTGGTTTTTGTACATCATCGCATCCATTCCGTAACCACAATCAGATCCACAAGGGTCTTTTGTTCCATCTGCACATACGTCTGCAGTGCCCGGTAGTTAGAAAACATCTGCATCACAGTAAAGTAAACCTGATTGCTGCTAAATCACCAATACACATCCTCAGGTGCCTTCAGTGGGAGTGGGTCTTTCCCGAATGCACTATATTGGAACGCTGCACCTTGCATGTTCAGAATGTGAACAAATGGTGCGCTGACGTTCTGCAAGCCACTGTGCACGCATGAGCCTGCAAAGAGATGATACAGCACTTTAGAAAATGTTCTTTATGTTTTCATTCGGAGAAAAAGTTCATTGAAATTTCTAATCATGATTTTAAAATGATAAAACACGTAAACCGTTTATTTATGTATTAATACAAATATACAACTTCAATCTCAGCTACCAGCACAGGAATTGGTAATGTCCATCACGACCAATGGATGAGTGTAACACCATAAACAAGAGCTTACTAAAATTTTGATTTAAAGCTTTCGTGACTGCAGTAATTCATATTCTTAGTTTTTTCGGTAAAGTCACGTTGAAGAGAAACAACAAAATAACAAAATATATATAAAACAATAAAAAATTCTCACGACGTTTCGACCATAACTCAAACGGTCATCATCAGGTGTGTCGGTTTGCATAAATGTATTTTTAAAACGGCACATTTATTTATAAAAAAAAACGTTGGCGTCACGCGCAGCGATTGGCAGTTTGCCCAGGACTAGTCCATCTATTTTTTTTGAAAAGAGGAGGGGGGAGACGAAATTTTTTATAATGTATGCTGTCTGAAAGCCACTGTAAGCGTGAACAATCAATCAAGAACTGAAATGATTTATCAAATCTTTCCAATGATTGCTAAGATAGAATCCATCTTCTCGGTTTAAATTGTCTCTGTGCTTGTATATGTGGATAGCCTCATGAACGAATCTCTCATGGAAGCCAGATGGCTTACAAAGAACCTCCGTCTTGGAAAAGTCAATGGCATGTGAGCCTACTGAATTAGAACAATGATCTGCTACGGCCGAGGTGTTGGTCCTACCGTGTTTAAGGTCTGCTTTATGTTCACGAATGCGGTCCGAGACATGGCGTTTGGTTTCTCCAATGTAACTACTACCACAGAGGCAACTTATTTTGTAGACACCAGGGTATTGTATGTCCGGAATCACATCTTTTACAGACGGAACCAGATCACGGATTTTATGTAATGTGTTGAAACGGACCTGGATCTTGTGTTTATTCAAGATTTTGGAGATCTTTTTTGTGATCCCAGCAATGTAGGGTAAAGTGATGGTTTTGAAAGGCTCCTCAAGAGGGTTCTTCTTCATGGTTTGAGTGATAGCTTTGCGGATTGTATAGTCGGAGTAACCATTAGCCCTAAGAGCTTGGTGTACGTGCTTGAGTTCACTGCTTATGTGTTCCTGGTCGGATATGCATTGGGCTCTATGATACAGAGTCTTGATGAGAGAATTCTTCTGTGATGGATGGTGGTGGGAATCCGGTTTCAGATAAGCATCCGTATGGGTAGCTTTCCTGTAGACAGAGTGGCTCATTGAACCATCAGGTCTCTTTTTAATTAGGACATCCAAAAAAGGTATCTTGCCATCTATTTCGACTTCCATGGTAAATCTGATGGCTGGGTGTATGGAATTGATGTGGTCGAAGAATTGGTCTAGAGCAGGCCGGCCATGTGGCCAGATGACAAAAGTGTCATCCACGTACCTCTTCCATAAGGTTGGGCGCAGAGTGGCAGTCTGGATGGCGTCAGTCTCAAATTTCTCCATGAAAATGTTAGCTATAACTGGAGAAAGGGGGGAACCCATTGGGGTGCCCTCAGTTTGTTTGTAGAAAGTTCCATTCCAAGTGAAGTATGTATTGGTTAAACAGTGTCTCACCAGGGGGGGTACCTCAGTGTTTAGTCCTTGATGAACCAAGTCTTCAATGATTGCAATGGTGTCAGGTACAGGAACCTTGGTGAATAAGGAAACTACATCAAAACTGACAAGCAGGTCGTCTGGGGACAGGGAAATACCCTTGATTGTTGATACCAGGTGAGTAGAATTTTGTACCGCAGAGGTGGTCTTTCCAGTGAAAGGACGCAGGATTTCAGACAAAAAACGAGCTAGTTTGTAGGTGGGGGAGCTGATAGTAGAGACTATGGGACGAAGAGGTGTATCAACTTTATGTATTTTTGGTAAGCCGTATAATCTTGGTGGCCTGGCAGCAGAAGGTTTCAACGAAAACTGTTTAGATTGATCAATTAATGCGGTTGAATCAGAAATTATTTTGTTGGTTTGTGTGACGAGGCTGTTGGTGGGATCTCTTTTTATTTTTGTATAACTACCATCGTCGAGTAATTCTTTAATTTTGTTGTTGTATTCTATTTTATCCATGATGACAGTAGCATTGCCTTTGTCAGCTGAGAGAACTACAATATCATTCATGAGAGATTCGTTCATGAGGCTATCCACATATACAAGCACAGAGACAATTTCAACCGAGAAGATGGATTCTATCTTAGCAATCATTGGAAAGATTTGATAAATCATTTCAGTTCTTGATTGATTGTTCACGCTTACAGTGGCTTTCAGACAGCATACATTATAAAAAAATTTCGTCTCCCCCCTCCTCTTTTAAAAAAAAAATAGATGGACTAGTCCTGGGCAAACTGCCAATCGCTGCGCGTGACGCCAACGTTTTTTTTTATAAATAAATAAATGTGCCGTTTTAAAAATACATTTATGCAAACCGACACACCTGATGATGACCGTTTGAGTTATGGTCGAAACGTCGTGAGAATTTTTTATTGTTTTATATATATTTTGTTATTTTGTTGTTTCTCTTCAACGTGACTTTACCGAAAAAACTAAGAATAAGAGCTTACTACTTTCACTCTTTAAAATATATACAGGGTAATCCACTTACATACACTCCACTAAACTAACAAGAAGACATTTTAGACACACAATTGATATACTGCTGCTCTATGAGGGATTTTGGTCATCATCACAAAGCCACCCCACCTCTACTGCTTCCACCCACCCATACCCACTGCTGTCCCCGGTCACCTCTACCACTGTTGTGCACCCCCCTTCCACAAGCTCCACAAGTCCCTGGTCACCACCACCACTACCACTGCTTTGTGCACACTTCCCCCACACCCTCCACAACCCTCACCACCACCCAAACAAGTCCAACCCTGTGTCTGGATGAAGAGGGGAACCGAAACAAAGAGACGTAGAGAGGGGTCTAAAGAAGGGTGGGTCCTCAAAAGAGAAGGAGCATTGCCAAAGTAGGTAGAGGATGGGACTCGAAGCAACAAGGGGCAGGGTCGAAAGGAAAATGGAGTGTAGGAAGGGTTGGGGTCTCAAGTGAAAAGGGGAGGGTCTAAATAGAAGGGAGCGGAGCCAATATAGGAAGGGGCAGGCCACAATGGAAGTGGTCGCTTTGTAAAGACAAAGGGGCAGGGCTTGAAGAGGAAGCCCAAGTGAGTGATCTCCAAATAAAACAGGGCCTAAAAAACAGCAAAACCGCATATCTCAACAAAAATCTGAGAGTTATGAGAAAAAACAATTCCGCATATTGAGGAATGCTCCAACCATGAACTTCCCTCGTGATTTTAGGAAGACAAGCAGATAATAAAATATGTGCAGCAGGAAAGCAAACATGTCGCAGATGCGGTCACAGACCAACTGCTTTTGTTTTAAAGCCACTATAAAGTAGAGGCTACTCGCTAACTTTGGGCATTAGAGCAATGATCCACTAATTGTCATTGATATGGCGGAGCATATCAAAATAATAGACCAACTAATACACGAAAATGTTTAATGTTGATGCGGTGTGCAGCGCATTACAACAGGAATCGGCAGCGCGATTCTGCTAATCTGGAAAAAAGCTGCAGATTACAGAGGAAGCATGACACGTGACTAGTAGCTAAGGTAACTCGCAGTAAATGTGAGGATTATGAGGTTTCAAATTTTTCTAATTCCCAAGAAGTGCAATCTGCCATTTGGGGTCGATATTGAGCGATTTAGCAGTTTAAAATATTGCTATACAAGTCAAAAAAATGCAAACATTATTTTCTATTAAGCACAACTAAGATGTGCAGATGCAACAAACAAATACAAAGTAAAAAAGAGCTTAACTCAGAATTTCCCAACAGCTCGACCCCTGCAGCTCTGAAGAACCATGGCCACGTCTAATGTTCGTGGTTGGCTGTCCACAGAGTGGAATCAATCTGCCACGGTGTGCCACGGATTGCAGGAACGATTGCGAACAGCCAATAATCCGCAAATTATAGGGATTTACGGATTATGGCATCGCAGATTATTGTATTTCTGCTGTATTTGAGTTGCACTTGTATTGCACTTAACCCTACCCCTATCTACTGCAGTGGACGTATAGGTTGAAGAGAACCACTGATATATGGAGCTCACCTATGGGGGGCTGCTGGCCAGGATTGCTGCCGGGGGGCTGGCCAGCATTAGAGGCCTCCTCTTGGCAGTCCTGCAGCTGCTTGCGCAGTGTCCACCTGGCGTCGGATGAGCAGCACGTTGTTCCTGTCATTGCACGTGACAAGTCAACTGTAGGGGCAGGGCTACCAAATGTCTGGGAGACTCAACTGGGAAATGTGCTGAGCTGGTAGGGCCCTCCCTCCATCAGCCCACCCACTTTTACATAACCACGCCCACTCACTCACTATCCCCGCCCATACAGATGGTTTTCCGCACTCTGTCTGGCATTTGAGAACTAACGGGAGTGCCAGGAGAACAACCCTCACAAAGCGATAACATCAACATTGTATCCACGCAAGCCATATTCACGCGGTGCCTTATTTGACAGTAGAAGTAGTGAACTATAATTCCAGTCCAGATATATTTTAATTGAGCTGCCTGCATCTGCCTTCACGTGAAACTGCTAAATTCACCACTACATAGCAAGTTCTGTTTTGAGTTGCTGCACTGAACATTTACAACAATTAATAGTATTACGGTTCTTTCTCTGAAAGAAAATTACTTTTCATAAAAATATGGCACATATTACATTTGTATAATCAATAATTAAAACGTTCATTTGGAGGAAACAATGCTTAAAATTATAACCTCAGGCAGCTCTAACAAAGTATTTTTTATTTCAATTCTTGTTTCGTTTTCATAACCTACCAGTTTATTTTATTACATCATACAGTAAACATGATATTCACTTTTTTTCAAATATGTGAATGGTTAATAATACTTGGAAACTGCAACCCTTTAACCTCCTCCCCCCATACATCCAGGACCCCCAGGCCCAGTGATCCTGGGACCCACACCGTGTCAAATTACATGAAAACTCCATTAACTAACATGTCACGTGTGAGCCACTTGACTACCCCTCTTGTGTTCATTAAAATAGGAACCCCCGACCCTGAGAAATTCCAACAATAGACTCTGCAATTAAGCACGTGTATGACCTTTAATGGTGGGCAGTATGTGTATTGTGGAAAGTATGCTTGTGTGGTACACGGAAATAAATATCAAAGAGTATTGAGACCTGAAACCCTTTCTACACCCCGATAGGAATTAAGACAAATGACGTTAAAACATTATCTCCAGGTACAGCAGTGATGTAATAAATCATTGTGGTTTTACATAGTAACAATTCCTCATCCCTATGCAAGCAATTTCACATTTTCACGAGCATTAACACAACCATTTTGTGCATGCAAGTTTTCCATGTTCAGATACCGTGTACAGATTTCACAGAATTTATGAAAATGTTGAAGCAGTTGCTCTAACATGTTGAAGCAGTTGTTTTAACATTTCCCTCACAAATTGTCTCATGAAGTTCAATTCAGCTCTCTATGAGAAGCCATCCAACACAGTCCAGCGACTGCAAGAACTGCTGCCTCCGCATTCCAGTGATCCAAGGTACTCCCCTTTTACTTGCCACCTTCAAATGCAAAACCTGAGTCTGCAAACCTTCCCAAAAGGAACTGTGGCCATTGCTGCACCCCTGATGGAAACAATTGTTTGGCTTTGCAACAATCGTGACTAACCGAGAGGTGTAGACGATCGAGAGTGGCGCTGGAGACATCCAGCTTCAGCTGCTGTACCAGCTGCTTCATCTTCCTGATCTCCACCCGCATCAGCTTAAAGTCCAGCTCTGTGTAGCGGTCATGCCCCTGCTCCATTCGCTCCACGCGCACCGTCAGGTTCTACAGCAGCGCCGTGTAGCGCACCAGCGTGGCGTGGTTCTCTGCCACCTGTAGGCGTAGTTTGAATATTATCTCCTTCCAACGCATTTCAATCGATCTTTTACAAGTGTTGACTTAATAAACAACCAATCATATGAAATGTACAGGACTGTGTTTTTGGCAGTTCTGTACTAATTTCTATGTATAAACTTAGCATGACTATATCAGCATAATTGGCTAAGGTACGGTGCGAAAGAAGTTCAACATACGTACATAGAAAGGTTGCTTCCTCAAGGAATCTTTGAGGACATTCAGGTTAATGCCTGGGTTTTATCAAATACTGCCCAGGGCCCCCACAAATATATGAATTGCTTTAGAATGGCTGAAATACAACACTCCCACGCAATGATGAGCCCGAGAGACAATTTAGTCATGACAGCCAAATCCTCAATGGCTATGACTCACAGGAATTTAGTTTTCCTCATTTACCTCTACAAACCACATTCTATTTCATGTGCACCTGTGGTTTAATCATGAGCCTGCGTGCTTATTAGGTTTTAGAATTGTGTGAGTTATTTACTTGCTTGCTTTTCGCTCCGTGCAGTGCCTTGCATTTCATGTTGGCTTAATGGGCAATGTTTAAGCTCCTGGTGAAATAAGAAGAGGTCACCTTCTGTGACTCCACCGTGAAGGCCGTGGCAATCGTCTGGGTGCTGAGCTGCAGCTGCTCCACCATGTCGGCCGGGAAGACGGGGTCCGGCAGATAGACGTTACACACGCACTGGCCCTCCGCATCCCGGGAGCCGTTAGTGTAGGCGCCAGGGACCAGCTTTGAATAGAAGACCACAACGTGAAAGGACATCACACTCAAACTCGCATACTTTAAACATCACAATTGCATATCCACCGCAATATTTAAAGAGGTATTGTTCCCAAAGTTTATACAAATTCATTTGCTTAGTAGACGACAAGAACACGAGAGATAGCGATGGCTTGGGGAATCCTTCATCTAGCAGTGGATCGATCATGTCTGATGGATATTATACACGTAGAATGCAAAAAATGTCATCATTAGCTATTAGCCATCGTTCATCCCGAAAGTTTTAAGGAAACCCGTGCTTAACATCAACCAGGTCTATTTTAACACACAGCAGCACCAATTCCAGTATATATCTATTATATTTATACTGGTAGGAACGAAGTTGTAAACTGAGTGTACCAGCCTGCAATAGATTAATGCGTCCGTCCGTCCGTCCATCCCCTTTCAATACTTTAACGAAGTGAAATCTCGTGCTGTTGGGTGTAAAAAAAATTCCAATGTTCCTACCAGCCCACCCTGCAAGGACCTGTTTATAGTTGCGGTTACTTGTCAGATGCCTACTCCAGTCGACCAGTGACCCAGTATATATTTAGTCAGACATTGAGCCTGGCCTGCAACAGCGCGCGTAGCTTACATAAGTGGAGCAAGCGAGCTCCTGGAAGAGAAGACCGAGGACGATGCTGAGCAGTGCCTTCATCGTGACTGCTGGATGAGCTACAACTGTAGTAGTGTCCAGGTGCTCTGGTCTCGTATTTATCAGAGTGCCACTCCCATGCCATCCAAACACCCTTTGTTCTCTGTGTAGTGGCAGCTGTCACGGGGGAATTACCCCATGGAAAACATTTTTTTCATTGAGGTCTAAATGAGTCCTTAAAGTACTGGGGAGATCCACATTTAAAACAAATAGGAGATAAGTTAATGGTTAAATCTTGAGTTAAAGCTTTCGTGACTGCAGGAATTAATACTCTTGGGCCTTTCGGTAAAGTCAAGTAGATAGGTTCAAAGAAAATAACAAAAATAACAAAAAACTACAACGTTTCGATCACAACACAAGCGGTCGTCTTCAGGGTGGAAAAGTGCTGCCCCTCATTCTTTGGACTAAATGATCTCAGAACTAGCCCAGCGTAATCCACTTCTGTGAACTATTCTCTAGCACGAGGCAACGCACTGCTTTGTTAGAGACACGAATAAGTCTGTCAACAAGCGTGAACGCTCGCGATCGCACACTCTCACGAGTCCGGTCCATCGGGAATGCGCGCCGCTCACGCAGAGATAGCTCTTTGGAATAGCAACGTCGCTTTAAGTGTCAAGCAAAAATGTCTGAGACTCAAGCATGGGTGAGGAACGTCTCCCACAGGCGACTGCCTCCAGCTCCTCGGGTTTGGAGACCCCAGGTGAAACTGCGCTGGCCGCATCGCCGCACATCTCTGGCGGGCAGGAGCAGCAGCAGGAGTAGCTGGAGCAGCAGCAGCAGGAGTAGTTGGAGCAGCTGGAGCAGCAGGAGTAGCTGGAGCAGCAGGAGTAGCTGGAGCAGCAGCAGGAGCAGCAGCAGCAGGAGTAGCAGCAGTAGGAGCAGCAGCAGCAAGAGCAGCAGCAGCAGGAGTAGCAGCAGCAGGAGTAGCAGCAGGAGCAGCAAGAGCAGCAGCAGGAGTAGCAGCAGGAGTAGCAACAGCAGCAGGAGCAGCAGCAGGAGCAGCAGCAGCAGGAATAGCAGCAGCAGCAAGAGCAGGAGCAGCAGCAGCAGCAGGAGCAGCAGCAGGAGTAGCAGCAGCAGGAGCAGCAGCAGGATTAGCAGCAGCAGCAAGAGTAGCAGCAGGAGCAGCAGGAGTAGCACCAGCAGGAGTAGCAGCAGCAAGAGCAGCAGCAGCAGGAGCAGTAGCAGCGGAGCAGCAGGGTAACCGTGGGATGCGGATCATTGACGGCGTCGATTTGGGGTCCTGTTGAGGCCCGCGCTGTGCACTGCTCAGCAAGATAGGACGGAGCAGATTGGTACAGACCCTTGTAGATCAGAAGCAGAATCTTTATTTGATCACTACAAACAAAACAAACAAAAATACAAAGGATCCCCCCGTATAGCCTTAACAGACTGTAGGGGCAAGTGCTGTTGGCGAGCACCTATGAAGGCCGGCATGGCACACGAGGGAGTCGGTGGCCAGCACCACGCCCGGTCATCTTTGTCTGCCTCGTGGCAATGTTTACACATTGCACCAGGCCCTCATTTCAGGCTGAGTCGACCTAGGGGAGGCCCGATACCGGTTCAGATAATCGTCACCGGTGGTGGCCGTGAGCGGGAATCGAACTCGGGTCGCTGGGTTCGTAGCGCAGCGTAGCGCTAAGCGCTATACCACCGCTACACTACCGCTACACCACCGCTACACCACCGCTACACCACCGCTACACTACCGCTACACCACCGCTACACCACCGCTACACCATCGCTACACCACCGCTACACCACCGCTACACCACCGGTACACCACCGCTACACCACCGCTACACCACCGCTACACTACCGCTACACCACCGCTACACCACCGCTACACCACCGCTACACCACCGCTACACCACCGCCCCCCAACTTCATCACTGCACACAAAGACTCCTCTTTTACTCTTGCACCATGTAGAAGGGACGAGCGCTGTTAGCGAACTTGCAGTAAGGCCACCGTGGCACACTGGGCTGTCTGTCGCATTACATCCAACCACCTTTGTTTTCCCAGTGCAACAGGTACTCATTTTAGGCTGAGTCTACCTACAGCCGGACCAAGGCAGGTTACAGAACTACTTCTGGAGTCTCTTCAATCCATAATCCCTTAGCCCACACTAGATGATGCGTCCTTACTATGCAATGCGTGTTTCACCACGTCAGTCGTCTGATATACTTACATACTTTAGTTTACATACATGGGCAAATGGACGGGAGAAAATAGTAAGGTTACATCATGAGCAGTTATTGTGCAGTCATTGGTGACCAGATTGAGACCATCAACTCTGATTAGCACGGTTAGCTACGTACGGTGTGAAAGGAGTTAAACATACATACGTACACCTCACCACATCACTCTGACGCAGACATTATTAACCGGCGGAACTCCCAAACCAATCTCCCAAAGCAATGGACTCTTGAATTAAAAAATAAATATCTTTAAATTATCGGAATCAGAATCTTTATTAAGATCGGAGGAATCTGATGAGCTATAAATATATTTTTCAAAGATATCCAGTAGGGGCGGGTCGGAAAGTTAATTATCATTAAATACGGCTGCTATTTTTACAAGTCTAATCTCCTTTGAGTGATAATTTCGAAGCTGCAATGCGTGTTCATCGTGGTGTCGTCAACACGGTCTTACAAAGTCAAGGTGGGGGGGTGAGGGGGGCGCTGATCTCAAATGCCTTCATTCCACATTCCTGTGGAAGAGACAAATTTCTCCAGAGTTCAACTGCTGCTACTAATGCACACCGCAATTAAGAATGTACAGCTCCTCTGTCAATCCACTCCCACACCGTGTAAGTTATGAGGGTTATTTGACCATACTTCACCACGCTGGTCAAGTGTGGTTTTCTAAATGGAAGGGGTTGTTGGAGGTGGCCTGGAACCGGTTCAGATGTAACTCGCCACGGATATTTGGCCGTGGCATGGAATTAAACTCAGGTCGCCAGGTTCATAGTGCAGTGCGCTGACCACTGCGCAACTGCTCCACAAAGAACACAAGGTATGGGATTTTGGAAAGGATGGCATGGCACTACTGCTCTAAGCAGCCTGGGCCAGCTTCCATTCCAATGAAATCGACTGCCTTGAAGGTGCACGCTGGAGCCGGGCACCAGAGGGGAAGCTGTCGCAGTGGATGGCGACTGCGCCTCACCTGCGATGCGATGCCACTGGCCGTCGCACAGCGAGCGCGTGGGGGAGACCGTGGCGGAGAACTCCTCCACGCCATCGTTAGCCAGCACGGTCACCTGCAAGCGACACGCAAGCACAAAAGACAAAGATCCCCCCCATGTAGGGGCGAGTGCTCTTTAGCGAGCACCTATGAAGGCCGGCACGGTACACGAGGGGGCGCGTGGCCAGCACCACTCCCGACCGCCTTTGTCTCCCTCAGTGGTCGATATTTATACACCACACCATGTATTCATTTGAGGCTGAGTCGACCAAGGAGAGCAAGCCCAGGACCGGTGATCGGCACTGGTTTTGGCCATGAACAGGAATCGAACTCGGGTCACTGGGTTCATAGCGCAGCGTGCTAATCGCTACACCCACCACTCCAGAAGCGATCTGGCCCCAAATGATAGCTCAACGAAGTGGCTTATCACGTGGAAATGTATAGCAGCTAAAATACTTTAAACTCATATCGATTCAAATTGTGGAGGGAAAAACCGGAAGACCTGGAGAAAAATCCACGTGACCACGGGGAAAGAGAACATGCAAACTCCAAATATACAGGCATCAGGGTCGGGATGAAACCCACAACCTCCTGTATACCAGGCGAGGAAGTTAACATCTCGCCACCGTGGCACCCCCGGCATGGGAAGGCCTTCTTCCAACAGCAGATTGGCACAGGGCTACAACACACAGGCCGGGACGGTGGGGCAAGTATCAATCGCCGGAATGTGACAGCGGCCGTTTCCGTGCCGCGTCTCTCCTGGAGCCCGTGCACCACGGGCGATCACCTGGCCACCGTGAAGGTAGAGGGCGAGGTATCGCGCGGCGCCCGGGCAACCCAGGTGCAGCAGCTGCCCCGAGGGGTGGTGCGGCCGGAACCTCCAGCGCCAGATCCAGCTTCGAAGCCACCTCCATGGCCTCGTCTGCAGCGCCAGAGGGAGTGTGTGTGTGTATGTTGAACTTGTCACCCGTACGTAGCCAACCATGCTAAACGGAGGTGCAGGGGAAGGACAACAAACCAAAACACAAAAAGTTCTAAAGAAATAAGTTCGTCAATCTAGATAATTTATAAGTGCATAGCTCCATCGGCTTCCTAATATCGGAAGGAAGAGCGTTCCAGACGGCCGCAGAAGTGCATTTGAACGCACGCGATGTGTTGACCGTCTCCGTTCGATGGGTGCCAAAAAAGTGCAGTGATACCAACAACTGTTGGGGCGAACACTGTTATTGAGCGTCTATAAACGTTGTCACAGCACACAAGGAGGCGGTGTGGCCAGAGCCACACATTCCCAGCGCTGATGTTTTACACACCGCACCGGATGCTCGTTTAAGGCCGAGCCAACCTAGGGGAGGCCCCAGACCGGTTCCAATATCCGATATCGCTCTCCTGTAACGTTTGACATAGCCAGGAATTCAACTTACAATGCCGGGTTCGTAGCGCGGTGGCCACGGCCATGAATTTAACTCGGGAACGCCAGGTTCAAAGCAGCGATTCATAATTTACTTTGACAAGTGAAACATAAAAAAAACAATATATCCGCAACAATAACAGCAAAATAACGACACCGCTCATGTCATGACGCGGCGAGGCGACAGCATGACGACACCCGCGTGGGGTTCGCTGTGCTGCATCGCGTGGTTGAACTTCTTTTGCTCCGTACGTAGCCAACCGCGATAATCGGACTGTGCGGGGCAAGGACGGTTGTTCCCTCCACATTTAGAAACGTGCGTTTAAACAGATTATTTGATGTTTGGCTGGGGGCGAGGGAGCGGGGGGGGACAACAATGCCGGCACGGCTCTCTCACCCAGCAGCACGTGGCCTCCTTCGCGCGAGAAGAACACGCCGGGCGTCGTGGGCGCGGAGGTGCAGGGCGTCACGGCGAAGCGGCGTGCTGGCTCCTCCAGGGACGCTCCGTTGAGCCGGGCCCCGCGCACGCAGCCACGCAGCCTGGCCCTCCAGCGGCCCTGGGGTGGGGGGGGCGGTGACGGCACACCCGGGGGGTGCGACGCCTCCCGATAGAACGGCGCTCCTCCTTCTCGGCCCGCGTGGCTACCGTCAGCGCCACGTAGCGCGCTAATGCAAGACAGGAAACAAATGCATTACGAGCGCAAAACAGAGCTACATACAAACAACACCAAACACCGGCATTGACTCGGCCTTGAACATGTGATCTCTCTCTCTCCACTGTTAATAACACAAAATAACTTTGCGCGCCATTGTGGAGAACATAACAAAGATAAATAAGCAGACAATTCGTTCTCCTTAACGTATTTGATTAACGTAAAAAATAAATGTATGGATTTGTACAGATCTCATCAGCCGCATCGTGGCCTTATGGAAGTGAATATAATTCTCACGTGGAAGGGCGGGTGGAAAAGTGGTGCCCCTTATTCTTTGGACAAAAGTATCTCAGAACTAGTTCAGCATTATCCGCTTCCGCGGGCTATTCTCTAGCAGGGGGCGGCGCACTGCTTTGCGAGAGACACCAATAAGTCTGTCAACGAGCG